TTATCTAAATCCGTGGTCGCTATATCAACCTGCTCGCCCAACGGCAACGAGCAGGCCAGCCCCTTGTTTGATGACGACAAGGCGGAGCCGGGGACAACAACTCCGCCATGCCGATCGCTGGAGGCTCCGACAACCTCCTGCGACAGTAAGTTCATTTCATTTACCGTTGTGTTTGCCATGTTTTCATATAAAGGATTTGGTTTTTCCAAGAGTGTCCTTCCCTTGTGATCATGAACCATAGGATTACCAAGTTGACTTAAGTATAATCCATCCAGCGTATTTCTATCTTCATAAATCATTGAGGAGGAAATTGCATAAAATTCCTCACTCAGCTTTTCCAACTCAGCTTTCTTGTCACTAATAGAGTGACCTACATGTATTAAAGCGTCTTCCGTTTTGTTCATCTGTATCATCCTAGCCAAATCCGTAAGCTGAGATTCCACCGAATCAATCATAGATTGACTTAAAGGAGCCATCTCGCTCAGGCCAGATGAAGTATTGTTTAGTCTGCGCATGCTCACCTCTTTAACATCAGTGTTTGGAGGAGAAACCATCCGGACAGTATTGTCAAAGTTCATATCTTTAAAAAGTGATTCGTACCTAGCAACTCTACCCAAAAGATACGACCGGGCACAAACATTTTATAACCTTGACTGTATATGCTTTTAATGCATGCTTCAATATTATTGAGCTCTACATATAGCTCCGAGCGATTTGGGAGACTACTATTACGCAATCTATTAATGGAGCCTAATGCACACCCTAAAAACATCGTAGGTGTGAAAGAGGCCTCATTCAGCCGTGCTATTATATCGTCAACTGACTCCATTTTAGTAAATGTATGTATATATAATACTAATCAACGCAATGTAATGTCAGTAATGTGAAAAATGTTTTAATTGATAATCTGCAAAAATTCCATTAATGTTACTAACACAACAACCAGGATCAATGCAGTAATTCAACTCATTTATCAAATATTATTAATTAATAGCGTGTAACACAAACAGCAATCTTCCAGACCTCAAAGTTACTTGAGGAGGAGATGCCGCAATATCTGTAGAGATGTTTCTCGACGCTTATAGTATCATAAATCGCTTACGTTCACCTATTGATTAAAACAGAACGCAAGCAATAACAACATCAGTCACTCAATATACGCTACCAATACTCTTCTATGTCATTAGTCCAATTATGCATAAAATACACACAAAGTACAAAGTATATATTTGATTTAGTAAATTTTACCAAATTGTTCAATAGTCAATGTCTTTTTGTTTAAATAACACCTTATTATTTAATAAATAAGAGAGAAACTTAAAATTGTCCAATTTATCAAGTCTCCCCTATATCTAGTAACTTTAGTAACGCGAAGAGGCATATCAAGTTTCACATCTATATCATAATCACTCAATATACGCTACCAATACTGTCATACATCAATAGTCCAGTTATATATAAAAGTACAAACAAAATACAAGATATATATTTAATTTAATAAATTTTACCAAATTATTCAATAAACAGTGTCTTTTTGTTTAAATAGCACCCCATTATTGAGCGATTAAGAGAGAAACTTAAAACTGTCCAACTATGAGGTCTCCTCTATATCTAGTAATTTTAACGCGAAGAGGCACATCGAGTTTCATATCTATATTATAATACAATCACTCAATATACGCTGCCAATACTTTCATATATCAATAGTCCAGTTATATATAAAAGTACACACAAAGTACAAAATATATATTTAATTTAGTAAAGTTTACCAAATTGTTCAATAAACAATGTCTTTTTGTTTAAATAACACCTTATTATTCAATAAATAAGAGAGAAATTCGAATCTGTCCAATTTTCAAGTTTCCCCTATATCTAGTAACTTTTATAACGCGAAGAGGCACATCGAGTTTCACATCTATATCACAGTTCATGATTGTTTGGAACTTTGGCAACCGAGTACAGCCATTCACTCAGAGATGGCGCGTCGATGTCCCTTTGCATCTTAAACTCAATTTCCCGAGAGAAAACATTCTCCGAGAGAGACATAACCCCAATTGTTACAATATGTCATTTTGACAACACAAGCAGTCAGATATGTATGTATCACAATTCAAGGTTTATAAATTACGTCAAACAGTCTAAAGCAGGTATATAATAATAAAAATATTAATAAATCATATTTAATTGAATAGATATTTAATATCTATAAATATTGTTATCAGAAGAGAATCATGTAACAATAATCATTTATATATGTTTATCATATGCATTTCCTAGGATTCAGATGCATATTTAGGATGCAATGACAAGGGAAGCATCCCATCCATATGCCATAAGGACAGCTCATATAACCTCAAAGAGGACATCACTCACCGCCGCAATACTAATGTCAAAAGTCTGTTATTACAGGAAAGATTATAAATTTTTGTATATTCAAGATGTATGCACAGAATGATATAAATTCTAATTAGAAGGTATTAACTTTGCATCAGGTAATTATTATAATTGACATCATGCTAAAAACAACTTTTAGCTTCCAATATCATATAGTTACGTAGTTTAGTATATGTAATTACTATTATTGATAGAGAGTCATTTATTATTTAATTATTTATTTAATTATATGTTTACCATGCACGCACCAAGAGTCAAAAGCATGGAATATCACTGGTTAGCTCGACAAGAGAAAAAGTCACAAAATTAATAGCACTGAGATATAAAACGTAATTACAGAAAATATTACTCAAGAGTTAATGTGTATTTAATAATTGTTATAATTATCAAATTGTCTTTTACTATATGTATTAAACGTATTACCCCGAAAAAAGCTTTATTAAGACTATTATTAACGTTAAACTAAATATTAAAGTTTATAATATCTAAAGATATAGCTTATAGTCATTGTACAATTAAAGGCAACTTCTGTGTATCTCAGCACATATTTCTTTTTGTTCACTACACATATAACTAATTATTCCACTTATCTTAGGTGATGACAGCATCCTCCCCCCTGGCTGTCACACGGTGTGTTACGCGGATGACACACTGGTGATGGTCGGGGGGACCTCGTGGGAAGACGCGACCGCTCGGACGAACATAGCGATCAACCGCGTCGTGCGCTACGTAAGGAGGATGGGACTCAAAGTGGCGCCCCAGAAAACCGAGGCCATCTTTTTGCATGATGGCTCTCACGGGGCGCCGCCGAGAGTCCACATCACAGTGGAGGACACCCCAATAGAGGTGGGGGCCTGCATGAAATATCTGAGCCTCCACCTTGACAATAAGTGGACCTTCCAAGAACACTTCCGCCGCATATCCCCCAAAGTGAAGAGGGCAGCAATGGCACTACAACGCCTGCTGCCCAATCTCGGGGGACCTGGCGGAAGTGTAAGGAAGTTGTACGCCGGGACTGTACACGCCATGCTGCTGTACGGGGCCCCAGTATGGTCGAAATGCCTGGGGGCTGCCCGCGGTCCCAGAGATGCACTGAGACAGGTGCAGAAGCGGGTAGCCAACAGGATATGCAGGGGCTACCGTACGGTCAGCTGGGCGGCGACGGGGGTGCTCTCCGGAGTGCCCCCCGTTGAGATGCTCGCCCGCATGTATGCTGAGGTGTACACGCGCACGCGTGGATACCAGCGGGCGGGCATCACTATGACGGAAAGTCTCCGGCGTACTGTGAGGGTCCACTCCCGACGGGCGCTGATCCAAAGTTGGAAGGAATTCCTGGCGGACCCAACACTGCCAGGACAGCGCACCGTCGGGGCCATACGGCCCTGTCTAGAAAACTGGCTAGACAGGGCCAAAGGTGGGGTGTCCTACCACATGACGCAGGTGCTCACCGGACATGGGTGTTTCGGTGAGTACCTGCACAGGATTGGTAAAGAGCGCACGACGCGGTGCCATCACTGCGGCCACGAGCGCGACACCGCCCAGCATACACTCGCTGAGTGTGTTGCCTGGGCGGGAGAGAGAGAGAGGCTCGTGGCCGCGGTGGGGAGGGATCTGTCATTGCCCTCGGTAGTGAGGGCAATGACAGACAATGAGGACGCATGGAGGACGTTCTCCTCCTTCTGCGGCGAAGTCATGCTGCAGAAGGAGGAGGCGGAGAGGGAGAGAGAGAGAATGGGGGAGGAGAGAGAGGAGGAGGGCGGGGACGTCCCCCCTCTTTCCCCGGCATCGGCGGGTCCGCTTGTTTGTGGCGCCGGGGATCGGAGAGGGGGCGCCCCTGGTGGGCGTGGAAGAAAGGGAGGAAGAAGAAGAAGAAACCAAACAGACGGGGGGGTGTGCCTCCTTCCCCTCCTCCGCCGTCGGCGGGTCCGCCCGCCGGGGGTGGTGGGGACCGGGGGGGGTACGACCTCCAAAGGAGGAACGCACCCATGGGAGGAGGGGCCGGGCCCTCTCTTTCCGCGCCGCCGATGGGCTTGCCCGTTTGTAACGGCGTGGATCGGGGGGGGGGGGTCCGTCTCAAACATACCCGCGTCAATAATTGACGCGGGATGAGGGTTCCGGGGGGGGGCGGGGACAACTAAGTCCCAAGGGCCCTCCCCCCGGGAGCCTCACGCGGGCCGGGCGCGTGGGTGCGTCACTCCACTATGGGGGGGCGCTCTATGTGCCCGGCTAGGGCAAACCCCTCCGGCCACGGCCGATCCCTGGCTCTCAAAGGAGCGGGGGGGGGGACGCGGCTGGGGGGCCGGGGGGGGGCCACGCGTCCCCGACGGGCAGGCGCTGTCTGTCAGGCCGGGGCGCCTGGGTCCCCCTCTGTGAAGACGTGATGCGCGGGGCCCTCCCGCCGGGAGCCAGGAGGCACCGGCGGGAGGGCAACGCCGTCCACGGAAGGGGGTTCCTCTCCTTCAGAGAGGAGCCCTCTGGTGAGGGCTCCCCTGGTGGAACGCCGAACCGGGTCACCCTCTAGGGAGTCCGGGGGTCGCGACCACCGGGGAGGCGGGGGGCGATGGCTCGAGTGGGAGTTCTCGAGCCATGGCTCCGCCCCCCAAACTCTTTGGGAGGGCGCGGTGTGGGGTCGGTGTCGCCCTGCGCCGCAACCGGGACGGAACCGCGCAGTCATTGACTGCGCGGTCGGGGAGGGGTCTTGGCCGCAAGGCTAAGGCAGCTCTCCGGAGATGGCTTGGCGGGGGAGCGGCGGGACGGCATGGGATTTCAGCATCCTCGCCGTCCTCTATCCAACGCCCGAGATGGACACCCGCTGGGGTTTTAGTGAGGTAGGTCTTGGGCCCCCTGGTCGAACCATTCGTGGCTCGACCAAGGGGAACAAGGAGTCCCACATAACCCACACCCCTACCCGGGGGTGTGTGGTAGCATGACCGTTTCCCCAGCGTCACAAAAAAAAAGGTGATGACAGCATCCGGATGGAAGTGTCCCACAAAGAATTCTCAGGAGTCTCTAAAGAATCCCCAGGAACATGATACAGTCAGTAGGAAGCCAATTGCCAACGCAGGTCTAGAAACATCCGCAGAGCATTTCTCCAACTTAAGGCGATGTATGCACATTCATCAAAGCACCAAAATTTACACATTTATAATTGTGAGTTTATTTGATTTGGCGTTAATTAACTATTTGTATCTTGAGTAACACACTATTATAAAGTTACCTAATTTAAATGATATATTAAATTAACTTTATCTTAGTCTCAAATAGTTTCAAATTTCAATATTATCATATTATTAAGATCAATCATTAGTGTTTGAAAGAATTGAAATAAATGTAATTGTCACAATAATTTAGATAGTAGATCACTTTAATTTTGACAAAATAATAATAATCAATTATTAGATTATTCAAGATTGTCATATAAGTATGTTTATAACTTAGTATAAGTACTAAGTACTAAAATGTTTTAGATAACGTCAATATATATTTATCCATTGTTTATAATGGACAAATCATCATCATCTCATCACGATGCTACACAGTAAGGTCATAACTGACCCTAAATGACAAAAAACGTCTGAAATATGCAAGGATGAAATCAATCAACACATACGTTCCATATATGTATATGTGTGTAAGTATAAAATCTTTATACCTAAGTTCACTATTTTATCACCAAAAACTGAAAGTCACATGTAATTGTCTAGCTTAGAGATAAGGTACTAAATATTTGAATTTCCTGCTAATTACAGAATTACTGAAGATCATCTTATCAAGACTAATCAGCAAATTATAGTGTACAAAAGGATCAGATTAGTATATCACAATATAATTAGTTAATATTTCACTACAATTCTGACACAATAATCTTTTAATATTTGAGTATTCAACTATTATCATATAAGTCTATGAAAAGTCTGTCCATGATATAACACAAGTACTAAATACTAGATAATAAGTATTTAAATTATGTCCATATATATTCAATGCTCATTTAAGACCTAATAAGCAAATTCATTGTCCCCTCCAAGTCCTGCACAAAAAGACTATCAAACTGACCTTTAATGCAAGAGTCTAGTATCTAATTAATAATCCATAAGATTACTATTGTCTTTACAATATGAAAATGTATTTCACCATCACAGGCTATATTAACCTGTTATAACGATATCTAAATATTAAAGTTTATTAACAATATTCAAATATTGAAATTTACGATATCTAAAACAAGGATCTTTTAGTCATTGACAACTTGTATAGTGAAATAACTTTGCATATCTCAGCACATATTTCTACTTATTCACTACACACAATAACAATTGTTTCACTTATCTAGGTGATGACAACAACCAGATGGTAAATCGCCAGAAGTCTAATAAATCTCAGGAGCATTATACAAGCCATGAGTGATCATGATTTCCAAGAGGTCCATATCCACAACGTATTTCACCGACTTAAGATAATATATGCATATATATCAAAACACCAGTATGCACATATTAATTATTTTCATAACTGTAAGTCTACTGCATTAGCGTTCATTATTTATGTCTTGGATTATTATTAATAGAATAATACAATACAATGATTATTTCTTGTAACACATCACAGTGCAAATGTAAAAGTGGAAGAAAGACACCATTATTTTACTACTATTTCACATCTTATTGATTATCATTAATTAATTAACTAAAAGTCTAATCAATTTAAGTCACATACTAATCAGATATGTATATTTCAGTAAGTCTTTAATTTAGATGTTAAAAGAAAGTCACAGCTTTTTAGCCAGTACACTTATACATTCAAAGTAGTCTTTGTATCCAAAATTAGTTCATTAAATATTTAATAATAGTAATAGAATAATACAATGATTATTCATTATATCACAACACAGTATAGATGTAAAATAGAAAAAGTCACAACCATCTTATTATTATTACACAGTTTATTGTTTATCGTTACCTAATTAACTAAAGTCTATATAATTTAAAGTTAAATACTAATTCAATTTGTTTATTTCAGCAAATTCTGAAGAGAACGTGTTATATTGCAACAACAACCTCCTACATATGAGTCTTATTTCACTTGGAATACAGAATTTCATTTATCCGAACAGAACAATGATCAAGCTAAGTTTTCCATCACACTCCACATATAATTTTAACCAGAATTAGTTATATATAACATATCTGATATCAATAATACTGAATTAATGAAATAACGAAACTAATTGTTCAGTGATATTAACAATAGAATAATATAATAATTATTCCCTGTAACACATCACAGTTCAAATACAGAAGTAGAAGAAAAAGTCACAGCCATTTTACTACTAATTCACAGTTTATTAATTATCATTAATTAACAAACTAGAAGTCTATTCAATTTTAAAGACAGATACTAATCCGATTTATATATTTCAGTAAATCCTGAAGAGAGCATGTTGTATTGCAATTACAACTTTCAATGTTTAGATTAAAGGAAAGTCACAGTTATTTTGGTCGAAACATTATTCAATCAGTGCAGTCTTATATCCGAAATCAGACCATTAAATACAATAATAATGATTATTTATTATAACACATCACAATGCAGATGCAAAATAGAAGAAAGTCACGACTGTATTATTATTATTTCACAACTTATTGTTTATCATTGACTAATTAATTAAAATCTATTCAATTTAAAGTCAGATACTAATTTAACTGGTCTATTTCAGTAAGTTCGATATACCTAGTATTGTTAATATTAAATCATGTCCACAAGAAGTTCATCATACAGCAAATAACTATTTAACACCATATTCCAAATTAGAATAATAATATTGTTTTATTCAACAGGGTCCCATTCAGAGTCTAAAGATGACATCAGAGCAATCATCATCAATTTTAATACATCCGACTTAACGAAATACATATACCGTATAAATATACACATATGTAAATCTTGGAGTACGTAAACTATTATGTATTTTAGCATAATATTCTAACTACAAGAGATTAATGTAGTGAAAAGAACTGAATTAACACTAAAATTCCTTCTCTTATTTCAGATGAAAAGCGACAATATCCTCCTCCAGAAGAGCAACAAATATGACAGAAGCACTAATAGGACTTATCATTAGAAAGTTTCTTATACGATTATCAATCCAGACTAATTGAAGTAAATAATGCATATCAATGTCTATTATCACATTAATAATAAAGTCACTAATTATCAGACCAATAACTAATTGTTAAACCAATAACTATTTAATTAACCTAGTATTCTTATAAGGTATTCATATTCCTTAATTTGTCCATAAATCTTATATCTTATTAATTAATAATTAATATGGTCACTCATAACTGTGTCACTGATATTATTCAGTTGTTATATAAATCAAATTTCCGCGGTTTATTATAATGACCAATGACAGATTGACAGCAAGTATAAGCCAAGCTGCTAACCCACTTGAGCACGCGCGCACTGCGCAAAGCATGTGCGCCACGATGATCGACTGCCACGTGTTAATTACTTCAATACGCTTAATTAAGTCAAAATGTCAAAAATTTAATATAGTTCACCTAAAAGTATTTATATAATTATAAATCTATTGAACAGAAGGCATAGGAAGGCACTTATTCTAACTTATCAAATATTAAAAAGTAAGAATTTAAATGAAATTTACTATAAGTTACAGCAAAAATAGTTCTTTATAATAATAAAAAATATTATCTTCTCAAAAATTATGTTTATAGCCAAAATAATTCTTTGCAAAAATTAATCATTATCAAAAATATTTTCTCAAAAATTATATTTATAAATTATATTTTATTTTTGTTAATAATACTAGAAAAAAATTAAAATATTAGCATCAAAAAGTAGTGAAATCAAAAAATTGCGCTAAATAATTATATTGATAATACGAGAAAAAAGGTTAAAATATTAGCATCAAAAAGTAGTCAAATCAAAAAGTTGCACTAAGTAAGTGACAACATAATATATAATTATAAATTTAACATATATAAGATAGGCAATAAGAGCCAAATCGCGGATGACAGTGCGTTATTCTAAACGAAACTAAATTTTTTCGTTAGAATTAAATACCTGTGCACAAGGCACCAAATTTTTACTTGGACACGGCCAAGATATAAAATTGGAATAATCTCTACAAGAGATTTTTAATTCCATGTATCCCCTATTCCCCCTAAAGAAATAAAGTGCGAGAGAAAAATATAGATCCGAAAGTCGCAGAATCGGGAATCGAACCCGAGACCTTTCGCTTGCCGGGCGACTGCTCTTCCAACTGAGCTATTCAGATCCTTTCGATTCTATACTTTTCTCTGTTATATATATTAATGTTGGTAAAATAAACGCCTTTAAGCCAGCGTGTATAAATTAAGAGTTTAACTAGGCTCTGTAATATATAAATATAAATTTAACATATATAAGATAGGCAATAAGAGCCAAATCGCGGATGACAGTGCGTTATTCTAAACGAAACTAAATTTTTTCGTTAGAATTAAATACCTGTGCACAAGGCACCAAATTTTTACTTGGACACGGCCAAGATATAAAATTGGAATAATCTCTACAAGAGATTTTTAATTCCATGTATCCCCTATTCCCCCTAAAGAAATAAAGTGCGAGAGAAAAATATAGATCCGAAAGTCGCAGAATCGGGAATCGAACCCGAGACCTTTCGCTTGCCGGGCGACTGCTCTTCCAACTGAGCTATTCAGATCCTTTCGATTCTATACTTTTCTCTGTTATATATATTAATGTTGGTAAAATAAACGCCTTTAAGCCAGCGTGTATAAATTAAGAGTTTAACTAGGCTCTGTAATATATAAATATAAATTTAACATATATAAGATAGGCAATAAGAGCCAAATCGCGGATGACAGTGCGTTATTCTAAACGAAACTAAATTTTTTTGTTAGAATTAAATACCTGTGCACAAGGCACCAAATTTTTACTTGGACACGGCCAAGATATAAAATTGGAATAATCTCTACAAGAGATTTTTAATTCCATGTATCCCCTATTCCCCCTAAAGAAATAAAGTGCGAGAGAAAAATATAGATCCGAAAGTCGCAGAATCGGGAATCGAACCCGAGACCTTTCGCTTGCCGGGCGACTGCTCTTCCAACTGAGCTATTCAGATCCTTTCGATTCTATACTTTTCTCTGTTATATATATTAATGTTGGTAAAATAAACGCCTTTAAGCCAGCGTGTATAAATTAAGAGTTTAACTAGGCTCTGTAATATATAAATATAAATTTAACATATATAAGATAGGCAATAAGAGCCAAATCGCGGATGACAGTGCGTTATTCTAAACGAAACTAAATTTTTTCGTTAGAATTAAATACCTGTGCACAAGGCACCAAATTTTTACTTGGACACGGCCAAGATATAAAATTGGAATAATCTCTACAAGAGATTTTTAATTCCATGTATCCCCTATTCCCCCTAAAGAAATAAAGTGCGAGAGAAAAATATAGATCCGAAAGTCGCAGAATCGGGAATCGAACCCGAGACCTTTCGCTTGCCGGGCGACTGCTCTTCCAACTGAGCTATTCAGATCTTTCGATTCTATACTTTTCTCTGTTATATATATTAATGTTGGTAAAATAAACGCCTTTAAGCCAGCGTGTATAAATTAAGAGTTTAACTAGGCTCTGTAATATATAAATATAAATTTAACATATATAAGATAGGCAATAAGAGCCAAATCGCGGATGACAGTGCGTTATTCTAAACGAAACTAAATTTTTTCTGATTCTATACTTTTCTCTTTCGATTCTATACTTTTCTCTGTTATATATATTAATGTTGGTAAAATAAACGCCTTTAAGCCAGCGTGTATAAATTAAGAGTTTAACTAGGCTCTGTAATATATAAATATAAATTTAACATATATAAGATAGGCAATAAGAGCCAAATCGCGGATGACAGTGCGTTATTCTAAACGAAACTAAATTTTTTCTGATTCTATACTTTTCTCTTTCGATTCTATACTTTTCTCTGTTATATATATTAATGTTGGTAAAATAAACGCCTTTAAGCCAGCGTGTATAAATTAAGAGTTTAACTAGGCTCTGTAATATATAAATATAAATTTAACATATATAAGATAGGCAATAAGAGCCAAATCGCGGATGACAGTGCGTTATTCTAAACGAAACTAAATTTTTTCGTTAGAATTAAATACCTGTGCACAAGGCACCAAATTTTTACTTGGACACGGCCAAGATATAAAATTGGAATAATCTCTACAAGAGATTATTCCAATTTTATATCTTGGCCGTGTCCAAGTAAAAATTTGGTGCCTTGTGCACAGGTATTTAATTCTAACGAAAAAATTTAGTTTCGTTTAGAATAACGCACTGTCATCCGCGATTTGGCTCTTATTGCCTATCTTATATATGTTAAATTTATATTTATATATTACAGAGCCTAGTTAAACTCTTAATTTATACACGCTGGCTTAAAGGCGTTTATTTTACCAACATTAATATATATAACAGAGAAAAGTATAGAATCGAAAGAGAAAAGTATAGAATCAGAAAAAATTTAGTTTCGTTTAGAATAACGCACTGTCATCCGCGATTTGGCTCTTATTGCCTATCTTATATATGTTAAATTTATATTTATATATTACAGAGCCTAGTTAAACTCTTAATTTATACACGCTGGCTTAAAGGCGTTTATTTTACCAACATTAATATATATAACAGAGAAAAGTATAGAATCGAAAGATCTGAATAGCTCAGTTGGAAGAGCAGTCGCCCGGCAAGCGAAAGGTCTCGGGTTCGATTCCCGATTCTGCAACTTTCGGATCTATATTTTTCTCTCGCACTTTATTTCTTTAGGGGGAATAGGGGATACATGGAATTAAAAATCTCTTGTAGAGATTATTCCAATTTTATATCTTGGCCGTGTCCAAGTAAAAATTTGGTGCCTTGTGCACAGGTATTTAATTCTAACGAAAAAATTTAGTTTCGTTTAGAATAACGCACTGTCATCCGCGATTTGGCTCTTATTGCCTATCTTATATATGTTAAATTTATATTTATATATTACAGAGCCTAGTTAAACTCTTAATTTATACACGCTGGCTTAAAGGCGTTTATTTTACCAACATTAATATATATAACAGAGAAAAGTATAGAATCGAAAGGATCTGAATAGCTCAGTTGGAAGAGCAGTCGCCCGGCAAGCGAAAGGTCTCGGGTTCGATTCCCGATTCTGCGACTTTCGGATCTATATTTTTCTCTCGCACTTTATTTCTTTAGGGGGAATAGGGGATACATGGAATTAAAAATCTCTTGTAGAGATTATTCCAATTTTATATCTTGGCCGTGTCCAAGTAAAAATTTGGTGCCTTGTGCACAGGTATTTAATTCTAACGAAAAAATTTAGTTTCGTTTAGAATAACGCACTGTCATCCGCGATTTGGCTCTTATTGCCTATCTTATATATGTTAAATTTATATTTATATATTACAGAGCCTAGTTAAACTCTTAATAATATATAATATTTAGATAAATTTCCTATAATGATACAAATGTATAATTATTGCTTTATTTTAAAACGTTTATAATATATACAATAACAAAATAAATTCAGTAAAATATATATATATATATATATATATTCATCTTTACATTTAAATAACATGAATAATTATGTAATTAATTTAAACTGGAATGTATATACATTGTAAAGTTATTATATATTTTTATAAAATATTTAGATAAATAGATATATATAATAAAATAAATTATTTATCTCTAAATAATTATTTAATTCAAATATATTTAAACGTATATTCAAAAAAGGTAATATAAGGCACAAAGAATTAAATTTAGAAAATTAAAAAAATTTAAAGTTAAATAAAAATTTTTAATTTAAATTAAAAAATAAAAGTAAAAAAAAAGTAATGTACAAAAAATACTTAGCGCTGTTTTTGTATTATAGCCCTTTGACTACGAAACGTCCTTAAAAATAATGATTATTAACGAAATGTGTATATACAGAAAATATCACACACAGAAGTCGCATCCTATCTTTGGAGAGTGAAATGATGAAGTCAAAATAAGTCAAAATTAAAGAATCATGAAATTATATGTGAACCTTTTTTTATAAAAAAATTCATAATGAAGATAATGCGCTTTAAACATCTATCTCGAAACTTTGATTGCGATCAGGAAAACATTGCAAATGCTTTAAAACATGTATCAGGATAAAGAAATTTTTATTCATTTATATTTTGATTGATCAATTAAACACTTTGAAATGCTCCATATACATTAATTAATATATGTATACATCAGGGTTGGGAAAGTTACTTTGTAAAAGTAACTAGTTACAGTTACAGTTATTTCATTGAAAAAATAACTAGTTACAGTTACAAGTTACCGATTTTAAAAAATAACTTGTTACAGTTACAGTTACTCTAAAAGTAACGAGTCGTTACTTTTCAGTTACTTTTTAAAAATAATTATACATTGTTTTAAATATAAGGAGCTTACATTTTATGCACACAATTACAGTCAAGTATTTAAAAAAATTCTTGAATGTAATATTGATCGATTTGCTTGCGACTTTGCAATTAACATCAAT